AGATAGAGCCACAACGGCAGGTCCTGGGACGTTTTGGAGACCTGCAGAGTTGTGGAGTTTGCACACCAGGAGTTCACACCAGGTGGAATTAGACCCTCGAGCAACCAGAAGGCCCCGGCAGGTGCGGGTTGACCAAAAGGTCCTTTGGGGCAGAGGGTCATTGGGGTGAACCCTGTGGGTTGGGGATTGAAAATAGGGAGACCCTCCCATGTTCTTATATATATATATTATATATTATGTATAATGTAATAAATATCTATAGTATCGTATATATATATACAGTAATACATATATATATATATTATAACAATAGTAGTACTATGTATTATAAGAATATATAAGCGTATTTTTGGTCTTCCCAGTGGTCCTAGCAGAGGGTCTCTCTACTCTAATACATCCTATCAAAGTTGCCTCCCTTTCTGTTTGACACCGTGGTGAGCTGAGCGGGGAAGTGACCAATCCTGTGCTGTGCACCTTAGGTCCCGTCTGGCTCCTCGCCATATGTGCAGGCGCGTAGAACTCTGTGAAGCAATTCTCTGGTGCGAAAGATGACAAGACTGACTGGTGCGACTGGTAGGGAATGAGAGGGTGTGAGATGGAATGAGGGAATGGATCATGGATCCCAATCTTTTTTCGGGGCTCATTCCCTCGTCGCCCGCTCCACAAAGAAAGTTCACGACCTCGAAACCGACATAATCTGCACCGCTACGTCGGGTTCCCTTGCGCAAGTTTGGTGCATCAAAGTGGGGCCCCCAGTCTCAACGGCTGACACAGCACCACAAAGCTCTCCTGGACATCATTTTTTGCAAGCTTGGAGTTGAAGGGGTCCAGCTAATAATGTTGTGTGTGTGTTGCCTATCTTATCAACCCCTGTTCTGCGCTTCAGCATTCAGCAAAGTGCTCAAGAGGTTCTTCGCAAGAGATTCAACGTTGCAGTTCTTTCGTTTCTCCTGCCTGTACACTGACCTTTGTCCGCGTTTCAGGCTTTTATATAGTACTTCCGTTGAACTACTCCTTCTATCCGGAGCTACCATGACCAGCTAGTGGCTGCCTGTGATGACAAGCCTGTGATGATAGCGTTTGTGGGTTCGTCCCCCCTGGCGATCGGTGTTGATTCCCCCTGGCGATCGGTGCTTTGGGGCCAGTAGATACTGTGACCGTCTTCACTTGCCGTTACTGACTTGCTAGCCTGACAGACTGCGTTTCAGGATGGCACTTCCATTCGATAAGAATGGCACTTCATTTAAAGGATGCACAGAGTGTGGGCTCTTTCCAAACAACGGGCGAAACAAAAACGACCGTTTTCCTCTGCGCGTTTCGGTCAGGTGCAGCTGGGGCCTCGGTCGGGAATACTGGTCGTCGCCGGCAGGTGCCTCCAGTCTTTCCAGTCTTCAAGGCACTTCCGTCGACAAAACGGAAGAAGGACAGCGAAGGGAGGAAGACATGAGGAAGCCGATGGTTGTTTTGGAAGGAAGAGTCATACTTAACTTGTAATCTATTGACCTGAAGCTAAAAGAGCCACACTGCTTGGGGTCATGCAAAGTGGACGGAGGGAAGGCTTTTGATATCTTTTGATGGAGGTTGTCAGCGCAAAACGCAACAGAGTTGCTGAGGTGTCAGGGGTGTTTGCCTGTCTCAAACAGACTATTAGCCAACCACAGGGTTTTCATTTTGTGCTTCCTCTACCAAGTGCGCTAAGTGGTTTTAGCGGGCCAGACATGCTGACTTGGAGATCTGTGCTTGTGGATACACGCAGAGTGAATACCCCCCCAGACTAGCATAAACCCCAATCCACCAATTTGTCCACTTTCAGAGCCAATGTTGGTTTTTGGAAGAGTAGACACCCGGAGCATTCCAGAACAAGCAGACGTGACAATGGCAGATCCACGTGTATATATATATATATTCTGCATAGTCATGTACAGTATTTTTTAGGTGAAGTGTCCAAACACTTCTTCTGCCACTTTTGCCATGTTCTACTGGTCTTCTACTTGAGGTCAAATCAGATGCATCCACCCAGGCAAACACAGCCTCCACCGTCTCCAATCCAGTGACGAGTCAGGCGAGCTCTTCGCGCGCGCGGCCGCCTCGCGGCGCGAAGAGCTCGCGTCATCCCGTACCGAGACGAGCTTTTGGAAGGGTCGGATACGGTAGGACATGGTAGGACATATTTAGAGTCAGAGCCTGGATTGTTCCAAAGCAAGCAGATTGTTCACGGCAGATCCAGATTTTCTAGATAGATGTTGTGAACATCCCAAGACACTTGGCCACGTACTCATGTTAGTACATAGATTATTCAATATATAATACTATATATATAATATATTATAATTGGTGTTCTATTCCTTTTCAAGAAGATTCCATGAGCCGAATCAGATGCATGACTCCCTTCACCGACCACGACACCATTGCATCGTCTTTTGCTCTCCTTTGTCGATCCATCGACCGGTTCCACCCGAACACCACGGATCGACACGCGCCGGATCGACACGCGCCTCAGGCAGCCACGGTGTCCATCCAGTCCATCCACATTCCAATGATGACTCAGGCCACGAGACCGACACGGGGAGAAAGGTTAGTCATTTTTGACACGCGCCGCTTTTTGACGCGGGAGCTGTGGGTGGTCGGACGGGGGTCGGAGTGGTTGGTGCAAGACACACACACACACACCATGTCATGTACACGTCATATATGATTATATATATATATATACAATAGGTGTATATATATATATTTGTTGAACTCCTGACCCCTATTTTGGAGGACCGTTTATCCCAGATAGAACACGGCCCTTTCCCATCAAAACATGATCAGTGGGTTCCAGGTGGACAATTGTGTAATATATATATATACATATATGTGTGATCCTATACACATACATACCAACGCAGACTCCATCCGGATGGGGATTGATGGGATGCCTCTATGTTTCACGCAGCGGGCGGCGACCAGTGGTGCTGGTCTCCCACGATGCACCACATATAAGCACGGAAGTTGACATGATTCTCAAGGTGAAAGAGGGTAGTAGTGGAAAAGGTGCAGGTGCCGGGTGATGAAGCACACACATTGGAATGTTGTCGGTTCATTGTCCAGGAGGTCAGGGTTTACTGTCATTCTTCAATTCACCCTAAACCCTGATCATCTTCATTTTCATTTTCACATCTTCATCCCCAGGTCGTGTAGGGTAGTGCAGCGGGGTCGAACAGACCGAATGGCGCTGGTCTCGCTGGGATCCTCGATCCCAATCCGAGCTCGCTCCGCCGAGCTCCGCCGGTCTCGCGAGGTGTCCCGGCACTCTTTGGGCTCCTCGCCCCAGGCGAGGCTGCATACCCAGTGGGGATTGGGGACACCCCACTAAACAAGAACAGGTAGAGAAAGGTTAGAAAAAGGTTACACCCCGGAAGATTAACATGGAACCTGAACACCACTGGGCTGGTAGAGGAAAGTAGTCTTCCAAAGGTCCACTTTCAGGTTCCATGTTAATCTTCCCAGGTGTAACTGGTTAATTAACCTTTATATTCCAGGACAACTGAAGGAGTCAGAATGCATGGCATCGATGGCAGCGATGGCAGAATCGGGTGACAATTCTTTTCGGTGGATGGAACTGGCAGAACGCATGGCAGAACGCAGAAGGCCCTTTCCTTTGGAGCAGGTCAAACCATGTAAAACCATTGGGTCCCAGGGATGGGACTTGGTGAATCAATCTGTCAACATCAACATCAGTCAACATTCATTAGGGCCTATTAGGGCTCCAAAGCCGCCAATGTGGCACCCAGAAGGCACTCCGATATCGATGGATGTGGCACCCACAAGGCACTCCGATATCGATGGATTTGGCTGAAGCTCTCACCGCTGAAAATGGGATTCGATGTTGGGGGTCTGCCGCATGATGGATATGCCGGAGATTCCAGATGGGGGGTGTTATATAGACTTCTTATGATTTTTTAGTTCCACCCGGCAAACGAACCTACATACCTCCAGTTCGCAGCTCTTGTGATTCTAGAATAAGATGCGGTTTGCTGTGTGAACCCTCTGTGAAGAGATATGCAGTTGTTGATTCTTGGACTCATTTCAAGATGCTCAAGTCTCTTTGATCATCTTGAAATACCTCCATCTGCAGTTCGGAGTGGTGAAACTCAGACATCTTCGATTCTGCGTCCGGCTCAAGAAGTGGACCGCGGACCGCGCTCACCATGCTGGAGCGCGGGAACCCGCCGCGGAGCCCACTGTCCGACCGCGCTGCGCCCAAGGCGGCGTCGCTCCGGTCGCGCTATTGGCGCCCAGGGGTTGTCCCGACCATCCGCGCCCAGCAGAAATGCCCGTGACTCCGGACGCATCGGATTGTGGGGAAACTGTGGGGAAATTCAGATCTCGAATTCAGATGGGCATCGATTTGGTCAAGAGAGTTTGACGGAGACGCCAGTGCGGAATGGCATACGTCATACGTCAGGATGATCATCTGTCTATTTGATTGACTATGCCTCATCGACTATCAACTTTACAAGGCTTTGACTACGACTTTGCCTCCACTAAAAACACCTCCTCAAGCCCCCCGCGGGATCCAGCGGGAGGCTGTGGGTTTGACTTACCCAAGTTAATAATGTGTTTTGGGTCATGAAACATGAGAATGGTTTGGGAAGTTTGTAAGTCAATGTCAGTTCTGAGAATGATGACTTACCCAAGTCAATGAAGAATAGGGGTCATGAGGGTCAGTTAATTGGTATCATACTTTAGTGGTACACGACCCGGTGCCCATCATGGCCCATCCCTTCCTTCCACCAAGTTTGCACCTAAGGTCAGGCCATGCATTCCATTCCATGCCCACGTTTGCACCAGTCAGGTCCTTCTTCCATCCTGGGCTCTCCGCTGGGCTTCTTTTTCAAGTGCATCGAGCTGTCTCGAGGAGGGCCAGCTCGGCGCAGCTCAGAGCGCACGAAGCGCGCGGAGTGGAGGTGTGGCGTCGCTTGCCGCTGGAGGCTCCGCCCAACATGGATGCGATTTTGCGATGCCCGGCGCCGAACTCGTTTTGAGTTTCCGAAAGAAACGGTTTTGGGCTTTGGGCTTTAGGTTTTGTAATTACTGGTGGGGGAGGAAAGAGCACAGCTGTTAGAGGAAAGAACTGCACCATCTGGAGCCTTATACCAACATGCAGCAATAGGTTTTAGATGAGGTTTGGAGCTTTTCCAAGTCTGGTACAAGGCATGTAGGTGGCATTTGGACCATGGAATCTTCGACCTGCCGGCTTGTAGCACGTGCCACCTCGGGTGACCTCCTTCGGTTCAGGAAATCGCTACAACGACGTCGTCTACGAGGAGCTGGATGACCTCGACTTGAGCCCCTTCCGCTCCTTGGCCGTGCTGCGTTTTCCGGTCCATTGGGTGCCCCAGGCGCGAACAGGGCGTGGCGGGCGTGTGGCGGATGCGGAAAGGGAGGCGATGTGGCAGCAAGAAGTGGCCGAAACATGTCATTCTTCTCATTCCCAAAGGATGTACTGCAAAGGGATTGAAGGACTTATTTATTCTATACAACCTGTTTATTCTAAGGCTGGGGGTAGGCCGAGGTATATAGCTAGTAGAAGCTAGCTAGCTAGTAGCTTAAGTAGCTCCTACTTAGGACGAGGGATAGCTCACGCTTCTTCAAGGAAGCTTCCCCGAGGGCGGGGGGGAGCCTCCTTGAAGAAGCGCTTGAACTCATGATTTGGTTCCTAGATCAGCAAATCGTGACATCGCTAGCAATATGGGTCACACAAACAGAAACATCCACCGACACGTTCACCGCTGTTCCCAGGGCCCGTTCGATTACCGGGCCCGGTGGATCCGAACGGCCGTTGGACCTCCGAAGAGGTGGGTCAACTGCGGGACCATGTGCTTCGCCTGGGTTCCACGCAGCACTTGGCCATGCAGTTCGCGTTGGAAGAGCACGGTGGCTTTCTGGGTATTGCAGTGGACATCCCTCAGGCCATGGGTCCCAGGGTTTGCAAAGGTAGAGGAAGCAGCTTTGAGGAGGAAGAGTGGACATGAGCTGAGTGGACTAGGACATCTATGACTAAGATGATTGAGTGACTCACCTGTTCGCCCAAGTACTAAAAAAAAACATAAAACACCCACAATTCCCAAACTTCCCCTCCAACGGCGGTCACGGGATGTCCGTGTTGATGGTCCGAAGGTGTTTGTGGGACCTTCATGCAGTCGTAAATTGACGAACAAGATGTGCTAAAAATATGGGCCCTCCCTTAAATATTTATTCCAGGGGGGCATGTCACATAGTGGAATATTTTTTGTGGAATAATTAGACGGTAGAATATTTATTTAAATAATCCTAAAGGGGGTCTCTTGATGCTGAGACTCAGGAGGAATAATTTCATGCCAACTATCCCTGGAATAATTTACATAATCGAAGCTACTATCGAAGCTTTTCGAGCCTGTGTTGATCTGTCTTGGATCTGTTCCACGAGTTGATATTTCTAATGACAGAAAATATTCCTGCATCAGGTGCACATCTGGAATAATTATCCTGAAACTATGTTCAAGGCCCCAGGAATAATTGCTAATTATTCCTAGGTATGTGGAGATAGGGGGGGGTCTAAGGTAGGGGCCATCTAAAAATTGCTGAAAGAAGGTTATATATCACCCAGAAGACACATCTATATGTGTTTATGGATCTTCGTTGATGTTCTTTAAAGAACGCTATCAACCCAGAAGACATGGGGGTGTACCGTGGACCTCGTCCTCCTCAAGACCCTTTTTGTGCGGTCCGACCTGACCGCGCCTCACTCCTAACTTGAATGTGTGATTTTCCCTGGAAAACGATACCAAAACAAACAGAAACGATACATTTCCAGCTATTCCATTTTCATACAAGCGTTTTCTTGATGTTCGGTATACATCTGAGTTCCTTAGAGGGGTGGGTATTGGACCGAGCAAGCGAGGGAAAATGGGAACCGGATGGAGCTGGTGGGGCCTGGAACTGGTTTGTGTCTTCATCGACCGGAGATAGGAGCATCGATCGCCCTCGCCATTCCAGGCCCAATATTTGCCACGAGGCTGTGTGGGTGCCGAGGTGCTCCGCTTGACTGTGGAGGAGGATGCCGTCCATGTGACCTTGCGTGGGGTCAGCATGCTCCTTCCCTTTGCAGGCTTCAAGTGTTCCGTTGGTTCCAACCTGAATCCCGGAGCTTGGTTAGACACACCGAAGGTTCGTCTCGAAAGAAGATGTGTCTCCGGCAGGACCGGAGATTTCAACGAATTTCACCAGAACCTGCCAGAAGCACCAATGGACCAAAAGAAAGTGCTTGGAGTTGGAGGTCTTCCTATTTGGCCTGCTGAAAGGCTACAGAACCTGTAGATGAGGGAGACCCTCCAACAACTGGGTTTTGGTTGATTCTTCTTCTTCTTAGGGAGGTCTCCCTATTCTGGATCTAATGCGCCCCGCCTTGTTTGCCCGGGCGTTATCCGGAGCCGCAGCTCAGGCTCCGGATCATTGATCGCGTGGCCATGCCAAACAAGGATGGTGTCGTGCGACCCCTGATGCAAGAGGTCTTGGAACATACGGAGCTGGAACAGAGCGAGGGCCTGGAAGTCTTGCTGAAAGAGACCAAGGAGGTTGCGGTGGTTGAAACGATCAACCCGCTTGAAGCAAACTTGTGAACACAAAGGATCACCTTGTTTTTGGTTCTAAAAGGCCTTCACTTCACGTTGAAACTTATTGGTCCCAGAACCCGCTGCAGACATGGGTCCGTTCACCCGCCGCAGACCTCCGAGGTGGAACGGCTCTTTGATCACTGCGGCCAGATTCAGAAGGAGACGGGGATCTTCGCAGCGGGAGACTTGTCCAAGAGCACGTTGCTCAGCTTGGCACAGACGGCCTCGGAGAACTTGAAGGATGTGAATCTCTGTGGTGTGCGCCACAGCGAGCAGCGAGGCGGCCTCTTGAGCCCACCATCATTAAAAGCCCTCTTGCGGATGGGACTTTACACATATTTGAGCGTTTCTTGAAATTCCAGCGCAAGAGTGTTGATTGGTAGGTGGTTTGGCATGGATGTCAGGGGCGGCCTTAGCTGGCACCTTAGGTGGATGTGTGGATTTATGTGGTCGTTTTATATAAGTCGTTCCTATTCTTTCCTTTTTTTGGCGGGCCACTCTGGTGGTGGTTGGGTTGACCAACAGTGTCTTCGTGTTGATCGCGTTTTCATAACGTCATGACATCACTAGAACATCCACTCAATTTTCCAACATCTTGCTTCAGGGAACAGCTTCGGACGATGAAAGGACCCGGAACCGGGTGAATTGCGAGATTTCCACGGAAGTGAGATTGGAAGAATTGATATGCATGCGATTGCCTACGTTGAACCCTTTTCAACCACCCCTGGCCTGATAGGCAAATATGGCACTCTCATGGAGTGTCTGGGATTGAGTTGGCATACATGCGGCCCGGATTTGGAGGGACGTCCCGTTCAGGCCCTGTAGTGACCAGCCATGCGGCGGTCTTTGCCTTCAGCGCGCAGAAGAAGGCCGACTTCCTCTGCGACCCCTTCAGCGCTTTGCGGCGGCTGCGCACGCTGCGGAAGTTCTTGTGCCTCATGGACCGGGTGTTGACACCCAAGTTGCGAGTTTCTTAAAAAAGAGAGGGCCGTGGATGTGGAGAGAAGGCTTCCATCCTGGACGGGAGAAGGGTGCGATGATCGAACGGGTGGAAATATTCCTTGATGTCTCCCCAGTCCCAGCCACTTAGTTTTGCAAACGCTCTCAATTGCCATATGCGGAACAACCATTTGATTCTGCTCGGGACTGGGATTTCCTGAGAAGAGTTAAGAGTCGTGGAGGGTATTCGCAGCTCTATTGATGTAACCAGTTTTTTTAATACATATATACACATCTTCTATCACGTTCTGCACTCAAAGAATGAAAGCAGCTGTTTGAACATGATGGATCGGTACTTGATCAGCAATGTTCCAACCTCGTTGAAGTAATGTTGCGACCCACACCCCTCACTGAAGAAGGCCACTCCTGAGACCAGGTAGAACCATGGAACCAAGGTTGATCTTTTGTGAGGTGTTTCTGTTTTTCATGCTCGCTGTTTTTTCTTATTTGCGGTGCACTTTGGAAGACGAGGAGCATTTCGAGCTCGGCACGTGAGCAGAGCAGGTAGGTGCCGCACATAGGTGGTACAGTAGGTGCTGTACGTGACGTAGGTCCGGTGCCATCGAGTTGAGAGACCAAGAAGAAGAAGCATGATCCAGTCGATGGTTTGGAGAGGACCAAGCCGCTGATCTAGGACTAGGAATGGACTTGGTTGGAAGAGGACCAATAACTGGAGGTACTTTTTGATCTTCCCTGCTTTTGGGGCTGCTTTGAAACACGATTTTGCTGATACATCCCGGCTATGTGTGATCGTATACTGTACCCTATGCTCTTCAGTCAGAAACCTTTCCAGCGCCACACCAACAAATCAAGAATCAAGGACAATTGTCTTCCATGGAACTTGGTCCAGTATAGTGGTTTCAGAGTAGATGGCACCGACCGCAAGATGTTCTTTAGATGGGAGTCAATATAAACCACCCAACTTGGGGGCCCTGGTGCCATCTACTCTCAATCCACTCTCTATATATATATATAAATATATAATTACTTAACAGAAGAAGAAAAAGACCCATGATTTCGCCCAACTTGCCCCCTCCCTCCTCGCGAGGTCACGACATCGCCCAGCGCAGAGGCGAAGACACCCAGATTCAGAGTGGTTTTGATATGATTTTTCATGGGGCTCCCTCACTGACATGTTTGGAAACTAACATGGACTCTGTGGTTTTGGCACCCTGAAAGACTGTCAGGGTCCATGTTAGTCTTTACTATGAGGATCTATGGGATATATATATATATATAATTCTATGACTGTTATTTAGAGGTGACTTTTGGATGAGCGAACGATTGAACTTCACACCCTCTGCCTTGTCACTGTTTCCTCGATGGGAATCGAGTACAAATCTGAGAGATAGAGCCGTAGAGGTATCCGCGCTCTCGGTCTTTTTCCAGTTTTTGTTTAGATCACTCGCTGGTGATTCGGTAAGGAGTCATTTGCTTCAGGATCCATACACACATGTTCCGTGTGATGTGCACGATGGTAACTGGGCCCCGTTGTCCGAAAATCATGGGCACTCCCTGTTTGTGGAGGTTGTAGAGGAACATCGAATCTTCCCAGGGGCCATGCCATCCACGTAGCCAATGATGGTTGGAGGGAGGGTATAAATTCTGAAGCTCTAAGGACTCTGAGACACTCGGTGTATCGTGAGGCATTTAGGTTGTACATTTTCTATACCACATATCACTGACTGCAGGGCGTGTTCCGCAGCAGGGCCTGCCACCTGGGGATGAGTGCTAGGAGGGCAAAATCTAGACTTCCAGAAATAATGGGACGCGAACACCAGTGGTGTATCAAGAACTGTATCAAGAACAGAATGAGACTTTGAACCGCCGGAACATGAGTGCCTGTTTGAGACCACCCAGCATCGGCGGAGGCAGTGTACACCACTGCACCACACGTTTGGCCATTGGGGGTATGGAAAGCCATGGCCTCCATGAACCCCAGGAGCAGCGCAGCTTGCACCAAGACTCCACCGGTCAAGCCTGCCAAAGCAAACATCAGAACCTAAGCATCATCAGCTTACTGAGTAAGCAGAGGGGTGAGAGGAGTAGGTACCACATTACCACATGACAGACATTAGCATGAAAAATTTTACCACCAATACGATGAACTGTTCGGATCATAGGATTACCATAACTCGACCCTGAAAATCACTGCTTTGTCAAGGAAAACCAGTGGGACGACCCGGGTGCCATTCCACCACAGGGTCCATGTGCTTTTTTTTCGGGAATGTCAGATTCCTGTCCTCACAGTCGCCCAGACATTGCATGTCCGATTCCTGCTCACACTTCGACGGAACGGGTGCAGGCCCGCAAAGCCTCGCCCAGGTCGCACGATGCCCGGCCGGTGGATTTTCACCGATGGTGCAGGTGGATGCTGGGAGGATCAGGGGCGCACCCGGGTTTCTCACAGATCATGTGGGGCGCTACGCGAAGGAGCTCCCAGTTGTTTTTGGTCGTGCCGAAGGGATCCTGGCTGAGCCAGACCCACAGCCATATCCTCCAAGAAGACAGTGTTTCAGTTTTGTTCAGGTGTTTCCATTGCTGAATCTTTCTAAGCATCTTCAAAAAACAACTGTGCATGCCGATGGGACCCGTGCCACAAGTAAGTGTTGATAGGTGTTGCCTTCGTGTTCGGTCTGGGTGGCTCTTCTTTTGGCCCATCGGCCATACCCGGCAGCCCAAAAATCCAGATCCCAGGAGACGGTCGGAACTGGTTCGCGACGAAGATTTGGCCGTTTCTGATGGTCTTCTTGGACTCGTCCCATGTTCCCGACTCCTTCCGGCCAGACGAGAGTTCTCTGGGCTCCCATCTCCCTGCTCAGGTGGGCACCACTCTATACACCACTCAGGCAGACGGATTGGAATTCAGATCGACACCGAACGGTGGTCATTCGGTGGTCCATTGAGTCGATTGTGACATGAAAACCGAGGATAAGGTTTTGATGGATCGGGGTGTTGGCAGGTTTTTGGCGGCAGGATTTTGCCCGAGAAACATGACCTTCTTGTGCGGCACGGTGAATGACGCACCCGATGCCTTTGTCCAAAGGCTTTTTTAGGCGAGTTGTGAGAAAGCATGCCTGTCATGACTGTTTACTTCGGATGCTGCATGTTGTACTGTACTGCATATAGTATATAATCATATATGTTATTATATATATATATATTTTGTTATAATTATACAATAGCATTGTCAAATATCAGACTTCGTTTTGCAGAACTAAGCAAGCTCTCCATTTTATAGAATATATTCAAGTATTTTAACACAGTATATATACTATTCCCGTTGAGGCTACCTTCTGATTGAACCGCCCGGTTCTTATGTCGAAACAAATCACAGTTTTGTTTATGTTTGTTTCTTGTTTTGTTAAATTGACATGTCATCCAAGATCATTCATGAATTGCTATGTCATGAATTTATCACATTTTTTTCATGCCCTTGTGCCAAACCCACAGTGTTGCTGCACCTACCGACCTACCGCTCCCACCGTAAACAGCCCCGCGCAGGTGTGAACGAAACTCTGGTTCTCTGAATGAACGACTTGAACGACCAGGAAACGTGTCTTCGCTTTAAATAATGGTTCCTTTTTTCTTCATCTGGACCCCACGATTTCCGACCGAGAACGGAGGGGTTTCCTTCTGGACCCAAGTCGCTGTGCACAACAAGCACCTCGATTAGGTTATGGATACCCGACGGAGGGGCCCTGGCTACCCTGGTTTGAACAGCGTCATCATTATGACGATCCATCAGCCAACCGATAGTCTAAGTTGCATCGAACTTTTTGGGTTTTCCTCAACGCCGAGAACAACCTCAACCATGTTTTTATGTGGCTGTTGAACGTGACCATTGTGAGCTGCGGCTTGCGGGCCCGATCGATGGATGTCACCGCGAAAAAAAGCGGATCGTCATGTTGTGCTTCTTTAAAGGGAGAAGCGAAAGCAAAAGATCAAAAAGGCTAGATATTTGGAGTGCCTTAATACAGTGTGATTTGGATGATATCAAATGTGGCTAGTCAAAGTCTCTTTGACACTTGGCAGGTCAACGCAGTGTTACGCCGGGCTCTCCAAGTCCAAATCATTTTCAAGGTTTGCTGTCACACGCTGTCTCGCACTGTCCGGCTCCGGCTGTCTTCCTCTTTGTCTATCTGGGAAGGGCCAACATACTCTGACTCTGTGTTTCTCCATTCATCATATTCATAGACGGCCTCTTTCCTATTGATTCAATTGATTGTTTGATTGTAGTAGAGGGAATACCCCAGAGCCCTCTACACTCCCGAAATAATCCCTGGAAGTGGAGTTCACTTCCTGTTTGTAGAGGAACATATATAACATTTTCCAAGGCATTTTGTTTCCCACTTCCATGATCGTTATTCCAGGGAGTGTAGACATGAGCTCAGCCAGCAAAAAGCCAGCAAGTATCATTTGCTGACCGAGAACATGTATGGAAAACCATGGAAAACCCATTAAAAGGGTACGTATCCAGAGTGAAAATACATCCATATCCGGGCCACGATGGTTTGCCCTCATTCAAGAACGATTTCTTGTGTCGATGTACTTGAAATACGGCAGGATGGTATTCTGGTTCCATCAAGTCGTTTGACGATCGAGGGGTGGAACCTACGTGTGTGGAACAGCTGATCACTTGGCCTCATTGTCTTTCGGAGAGATCAGGTATTCTGCTGTTGTGTCACCTGGGCGAGACAGCATGCTGGGCCCGAGATGCCTGTCTTGCACAAGCTGCAGCCATGTGCTGCAGTCTGGAGCCACGAATCGGTCCAAAAAGATGTGACGAACCAGCGTAGTTCTAAGTGGCCTAGTTGGCCTGACCGACGTTGGAGGGGATACCGTTGTATACGTGTAAAACTCTATTATATACAATGTGGATGTATACTTAGCACTAACCCACTGGTTCTCAAGGTCGGTCGGACCGATACGTGGTCAGCCTCCACCCAAATTGGTTGGCGTGAAGGAAGGTTGCCCACCAT